TTGCGAAAAAGAAGAGAAAAGAAAGAGCAACAACAACAAAAAAAAAACTGTATATATAGGAGAAAACCGAACGTTTCTGCATCTAAATTGGAATGCCTGAAAACCTGCCAGTTTATGTCCAATTAAAATTAGCACACACAGCGTCATTGTTGAAAGAAATAAATAAATAAAAGTATGGGAACAGCAAGTGTATAGTTCTCAATAAGAATCGACGCAGAAGTAAAAGCTAATCAGCGGATCAGTAAAACAAGTATTTTACAGCCGCGATTAGCGTAATCCGGAAAATATTGTCGATTTCTTCTTGGAGTTAAAAACGTGAGACGTAACATAAATTGTAGTATTTTGTCCACCCACGTTTCGCTACGAAAGAAGTGAAAATGAAAAGTGAACAGACTTTAACTACAGAAACGAAGAAACGAAATAAAAAAAGATAATAATAATATACAATAAATATAAAATGAATTGGTTTAGTAGAGACAGTCGAGTTTTACGGCCGATTCATAAGTGGATTGAATAATAATTGTAGAAAGTGAACGAAAATAATAACGAATTCGTTCGATGGAAATGAGACAAAATGTTTTATATTTTTGTTCGTTTCATGTTTAGCGTGGAATTTACTTTGCGAAATTGTTACTAAATGTTAAGTTATTTAGTTCGTCAAGTTTGTTTGCAAATTATCGTGCTAAAACAAATCTATGAAATAACTTGAGAATAACTTATATTTATTCTTTTGGTCCAAAATGTAGTATTTGTAGTATTAATTAAGAAAATTCTTCAATTATCGGCATTATTTTAAACTTCAATTACTTTCAATTAATTAAAAATATTTTCATAATTAGAAAAACTTATTTTTGACCTTTTTCATGAATGCAATTTTATAACTTTATGAAGTTAAACATTCATATTTTACAATAAATTCTTTGTTTTATTACCATTATTTGTCTTTATTAATAATAATAATAATAATCATAAAAAAAATGTTGAAAATGATTGTACATTATTTAATTTTATTTAATTAAGAATGTTTAAATTAAATTATGTCAAATATTGTTAGGATAATTGCGGAATGAAATTGGAGCTGAAAAGCTATATTCTTAATGGATTATTCTATAATGAAACGCAAATGAGTCGATTGGAAAGAGAAGGGCGAAGTGCGTTTTGAGTTTCAGCAAATGAAGACATGAAAGTTGCACTCGCCAGATCCGTAATTGGTTTTCTGCATGTTATGCAGTACGTATGTATTCATGTATACGTATACATGCATGTATGTACGTAGTAACAACATACAACGTATTACGTTTTGTGTCGCATTAGATTAAAGATAATAAGCGTGCTAGACTTTATAATATCTATGTTTATCCAAATATGTTTGTATGACATATGTAAACGTCTCACTCGTTCACTGTGGAGACTTGGATCTTATAAATTACATGCATTCAAACGTACACATTAATATATATGTATATGTACATAAGCGTATGCACAGATACAGATGCACTCAGAACACCACTCTCTGAATAATGAAATGCGCGAAGAGAAAGAGGCTCGAGGATTCATGCTCATTACTATCATTATTTGCCATTCTTCTTGTACCATTCCAAACTAAAAATCAAATAAGGATTGACTGAGTGAACTTACAGTTTTCGTATTGCTTGAGGTATATATCTGCATTATTAAATCTGTTTGGTCAGCGAGTGTAATGTGTTTGCCCTTTGGTCTTTTTTTTCTTCTTTTTAGTGTTGAGAACGTTACGACCAAAAGTCGTAAAATGGATTAGTAACACCTTTCTACACCTTGTAGAACTAAGCCAAACACGAAGTCCGTTAAAACTTTATTTTCACGAATTTATTCATTTTCATTGTGCAAAGCTCGAAAACACTAAAAAGACCAAAGATCATGTTAAATCAAGCTTACATTGAGAAAGGTCACAATACTCTACATAAGTTATTCTCAATAGTAACAACATGATAAGATCAAACAATAAATTTTCAATTTTCTAGAAAAAATAATCTGGATTAAGATGATTATTATTAAACTTTAAATGAAGTTTGCTTATAATATGTAAAGTTTACAATTCATTAAATCATCTTCACAAAATCATGCCGATTTCTTGTAATTTACGGTCAAATTTGAAAAAAGGTTTTTTGATCCTCGAAAAATCGAGTGTCTTCACAAATCATTAATTTATGACACAATTATGTTAGGACACAATTATGAAAAAGAACGCAAATTAAAGCAAAATATATAGACTTTCCAATATGCTATCAGTCATATTTGTAACTATTACCGGTTTCTTGTAATTTACGGTCAAATTTGAAAAAACATTTTTGAGGCTCGAAAAATCGAGTGTCTTCACAAATCATCAATTTTCTCAATAACTATACACGACACAATTATGAAAAAATATGCAAATCAAAGCAAAATATATAGACTTTCTAATATGCTATCAGTGGTATTTGTAACTATTACCGGTTTCTTGTAATTTACGGTCAAAGTTGAAAAAATGTTTTTTGAGCCTCGAAAAATCGAAAAATCACAAATCATCAATTTTCTCAATAACTCTACATGACACATTTATGAAAAACAACGCAAATTGAAGCAAAATATATAGAATTTCCAAGATGCTTTCAGTCATATTTGCAACTATTGACGATTTCCTGTAATTTACGGTCAAAGTTGAAAAAATAATTTTTGAGCCTCGAAAAATTGCGAGTCTTCACTAATCATCAATTTTCTCAATAACTATACAAGACACAATTATGAAAAAAAAACGCAAATTAAAGCAAAATATATATACTTACCAATAAGCTATCAATCATATTTGTAACTATTTCCAATTTCTTGTAATTTCCGGTCAAAGTTGAAAAAATGATTTTTGAGCCTCGACAAATCGAGAGTCTTCACTTATCATCAATTTTCTCAATAACTATACAGAAAACAATTATGATAGAAAACGCAAATTAAAGCAAAATATATATACTTTCCAATATGATATCAGTCATATTTGTAACTATTGCCGATTTCTTGTAATTTACGGTCAAAGTTGAAAAAACGTTTTTTGAACCTCGAAAAATCGAGTGTCTTTATAAATCATCAATTATCTCAATAACTATACAGAACGCAATTATGAAAAACAAACACAAATTAAAGCAAAATATATAGACTTTGTAATATGCTATTCGTCATATTTCTAACTATTGCCGACTTCTTGTAATTTACGATCAAAGTTGAAAAAATCTTTTTTGATTTTGATTTCTTCATTTTTCCAATTGAAATATTAAAGAAAATTGAACTTTTTCACAATTTCTATGCTCAACTTGTTGATGTAATAATTTCTATAATTTCAGAAGATTATTGAAACTTACTGGAGAAAAGTAAGAACCTACTATAAACATCTATAATTAATTATGCTATATTTTTTCGAGTTTCATTTTGCAAACATCAATTGATTGTTTGTTGATTTTTCCATATGAAATATTAAAAAAAATGTGTTTTTTTTAATGGAACTTTTTCACAATGTTTATGCTCATCTTGTTGATGTAATAATTTCTATAATTTCAGGAGATTATTGAAAATTACTGAAAAAAAAGTAACAACCTGTTATGAACATCTATAATAAAATTATTTTGAGTTTGAATTTGCGCACATCAATTGATTGAGAAATGCATTAGTACACAGCTTATTACAAGAACAGACATTGCTGAGAGAGTCGAAGAGAGATACATCTTGATATTAAGTTCTAATTATGTTGATTTCTTCATTTTTCCAATTGAAATATTAAAGAAAAATGAACTTTTTCGCAATTTATATGCTCAACTTGTTGATGTTGACTTGTTTTTTTAATGTAACTTTTTCACAATTTCTATGCTCATCTTGTTGATGTAATAATTTCTATAATTTCAGGAGATTATTGAAAATTACTGAAAAAAAAGTAACAACCTGTTATGAACATCTATAATTAAATTATTTTGAGTTTGAATTTGCGCACATCAATTGATTGAGAAATGCATTTGTACACAGCTTATTACATGAACAGACGTTGGTGAAGAGAGTCGAAGAGAGATACACCTTGATATTAAGTTCTAATTATATTGATTTCTTCATTTTTCCAATTGAAATATTAAATAAAAATGAACTTTTTCGCAATTTATATGCTCAACTTGTTGATGTTGACTTGTTTTTTTAATGGAACTTTTCACAATTTCTATGCTCATCTTGTTGATGTAATAATTTCTATAATTTCAGGAGATTATTGAAAATTACTGAAAAAAAAGTAACAACCTGTTATGAACATCTATAATTAAATTATTTTGAATTTGAATTTGCGCACATCAATTGATTGAGAAATGCATTTGTACACAGCTTATTACAAGAACAGACGTTGGTGAAGAGAGTCGAAGAGAGTGAATGAGTGAGCGAGAGAGAGAGTAGAGTAGAGAGGTCAGAAGGACGGAACACGGCGATAATTACACGTCTCGACCGGCGAATCGATTTTCCCACTTCGATTTCCGACAATTAATCAATTGCGTAATTAGGAAACGAGTCGTCCGTTCCTTCTCTCACCCGCTGAAAATAACGGACAGACGAATGAAATCCCATCGCATCTCGCTCACTCTCACAATCGGAATGCCATTTAGAAGACACGAGTTAAAGAAAGAAAGAGAGACAAGAGAGACATTGAGTTATCGGCAATGCATTAAACGGCCAAAGTCATTTACCAGTTTCACTTTCAGCGAAGTGAATGAAGGCTGGGCCGCCAATAATCTGTGACACCTAATAAATATCTCCCGTTTTCTCTCACTTCGTCTTCGAAACTGTTTGTACTTTTACGTTTATTTGTATTTATTTATTTATTTTTTTTCTTACGCTTCGAAAAAATATTGAGACGAAACTAATTTGTCATCATCGCATTAGGTTTAATTAAAGTTTCGCTGTAAATCAACTATTCATAATCGATTTCTCTAAAGGATTTCTCTGATCATTTTTTTTTGTTGTTACAGACAAATCTGCGTGGACGATGGACAGGAGTTATCCTTGCAATTCGGGTGTCAGTTCTACGAGGTGAGCGCCGCCGAAAACTTCGCTGGAGTCTCTTTAGCTTTCCAATCTTTGTTAAGAGAAGCCAGATCCGTGCAGCTGCTGAAAGCCCTCCCGATCCGGAGGAAATTGGGCGTCAACAGCGTCTCCAAAGTGCTCGGCAACATCTTCGGAAAGAACTCCAAAGGAGATCGAAAGAAACGACCATCTCTTAGCATATAAAAACGCAAAAAAAATAAACATCGCCGAAACGAAGAATATTTTTTTTTGGAAGTCGCAGAAGACGATAACTACATTAATATTATCAAAGTTCCTTCCTATTTTAATTATTATTAATTAATATAATTAATTAATTATTGTTTGTTTTTTTTAATTTACTAATTATTAATATTTTTTTTGTAAAACGAAGAAACTCACGTGCCTTTTAATTGTAATTATACATAATTATTACATCAATCTTATAGAAATTTATACGATTATAAATATATATATAAATAATGTAATTAGACGATGAACACAAGATCCATTAACCGCCCATAAAATGTGATAAAAAGATGTAGTTTGTAGTTTGTTTTGTATTAAATAGTGTAAATTATTCATTAAGCGTCTTTAACTATTTAGTTATTATTTTTTTTCCTTTTGTTCTTACAGATCGATCCTTATATAATAAATTAAACAAAAGCACAAACGCTTCTTCTTCAATTGTTTCTGGCGACATTTGAACTGTTTAGGAGAAGAAGCAACATTGTTTGATCTCAAAAACAACGAACAAAAAACTTGAATTATGTAAGAAACGTATTTAATTAATTTCTATTTTTAAGTGTCCTTAAATTGTTTTCTTATCAAATGAAAGTGTTTTAAAACATGTTCAGTGTCTTTAATATTGATTTATTGTAAATTACTGAAAGAAAAAATATTAATATTTTTATGTAATTATTGTAAAAAAAAAACAAATTGAATTTATAACTTATTGAAACGTAGTGAATAAAAAATATAAATTTATAAGTTAAAAGTTAGATGGAAGAAAAAGAAACTGTATTTTTTTGTTGATTATATAAGAAATATTCAATATTTTTGTAAAGCAAATTGTAATTATTAAATTTGTGAATTGACAATCGACTTTTTTGAACCAAAAACATGTTTTTTTTTAGCTTAAATTAATTAATCTAATTTTCATTAAAAGAATTTTATTTATATAAATTTTTCCTCGAATATTTTACAAAATTTGTAACAGTTTTCATATTAGGAATTTAACGGAGAATTTTCTCAACTTGCTGTGTACTTGTTTTAATCTTTTGTTTCTTTTTTTTTGTTTTCATATCGTTTACATAAGTTTACGTTCATTTGAGAAACAATCTCTTTTTTTTAATTTCCTCTTTCATCCTCTTTTTTTTTTATTATTATAATGTCTGTTCATTATTATTTTTTTTGTTTGTAATTTTAAAAATAAATTTAAAGAAAAATAAACGCAATTAATGTTGTTTCCTTGCAGGAAACGCGATTAACCCAAATACCTTCCAATTAATGCGTTGGTTTAAAATTTTAAAAAAAATATCGAAGGTAAGTCGAGTTTTTCCAGTTCGTATTTACTTTTGTTGTTTTCTTCTTAAAGTCACTTCTTTTATTATTGCTTAAGTAAAAATAACGAGAGTCGAAGAATTAGTTAAATCAAGAATCGTCAAGAGGTTTATCTTCGATCTTTTTTTACGTAAACGCGAAACGGTCGGCGTTTCGGTGATCTGTAAGAAAGCGGAAATTACGTTTCGTTTCTCTTCGGACAATTAATTATAAGGTAATAGGACGGAATTACGCGCGATAAAATTGTTAATCGTCGTCGTTTTATTCGCCTTCCACGAATTAAATTTTATGTCCCTTTATTAAATTCCATTTTATTGTGCGGTTATTAACCTTACTTCAGACAATAAAATTTAAATAAAAAAAATCACAATCGAAAAATTTAATGTCTTCGCATTTTTACCAATTATTCAGTAAGTATAAAAGATAATTATAATTACGATTATTTTAATGAAAGCTAAAACCGTCACCTTTAAAATAAGATTATAATCAAATTTCTAAGTTTTACCGTTTTCTTGTAATAATCATTCAAAGTTGAAACAAAAAGACACAATTTTTTTAAAATTTTTCAATTTCCCAAGTTTTTTTTTGCAAAATTTATAATTTTTCTTAATTAACTTAAAAACAATCAAACTTTATATATTTACATATAAAGAAGTGTTTTATTGTGCAACTTTTCATACAGCAATTATTAAGTAATAATATTTTTTTATTAAGTTATAGATTTTTTTTTATTATTTTTGTTTGTCTGTTTTATTGAATTACTCGATAATTATGTGATGATAATTAGAAGATCCAACAGAAAATTAAAGAAAAATTCTAACTTTTCCAATTTTATTGTTTCTTCCATTGCGGTTATTTACCTTACTTCAGTAAGTAAAATTTAAAAAAAAATACAATTGAAAAATTTAGTGTCTTCAAATTTTTACCAATTATTCAGTAAGTACAAAAGATAATTACAATTACGATTATTTTAATGAAAAGTAAAACCGGCACCTTTAAAATAAGATTATAATTATATTTAAAAGTTTTACCCTTTTCTTGTAATAATCATTCAAAATCGAAACACCAAAAAGTTTTTTTTTTGCAAATTTTAAATAAATTGAAAATACATTCGATTATTAATTCAGATTATTAAGCATCTGTTTATATACAAATTGGTAAGTAATATTAATTATTTGTCGAAATAATCTAATTTTTTAATTTCCCAAGTTTTTTCTGCTAAATTTATAAGATTTTTAATTTTTCTCTCTTAACTTAAAAACAATCAAACTTTATATAGTTATATATAAAGAAGTGTTTTATTGCGCAACTTTTCATATAGCATTAACTATTGTTATATAAAAAGTTGTATAATTTTTAAGTAAGTTAAAAAATATTTTCTTTGTTTGTCTTCACGTTTTATTTAATTACTGGATCACTTATCATTTGTAATATTTATAGATTTCTTGTTAAATTTGAACGTAGATTGTGGCAGACTTTCGTAATTATAAATTGAACCTTAAATCACGACAGACGTTTAGTAGCACCGTAGATTTTGCAGTCTCTTCCAATTATACGTAAAAAATGTATATAAAAGTATTTTTAACTAATAAAGTCTATGGAATATATAAATCAATGAATTATTTATTATAAAAATCAAAATTATGAAAAAAAAATCGTGTTTTATAAATTTATGGTGGATTCGCGAGGTAAATAAATTAACTTTTATTGTAGATTTCAATGAACAAAAATATTATATAAATTTAATAAAATAATGCACTTAAACGAATTTAAATGAAATTAAAACATTACAATTTAGTTTTATGAAATGTAATAATTTTTGTGTAATTATCGTCAATCAGGATTTAAAATTAATTAAACTTTCAGGTTTTCATTTCTGATTAACTGTGTTTATTTTATTTATTTATTTATTTTTTTGATACGTTTGAAAACCGCGCCCTTGATTGAATAAATTATATTGGAAGTTTCGGAATGTGCGAAGGTTTCTATGCACACTTATTAATGCGTAAACTTAATTGCAATTTCAATTATTCAATTAGATTTGATTTCCCAATAAGTCCTGATCCGCAAATTGATTTGCTGTCCGCGATTTGTTGCTCGAGCATTATCCGCCCACAGAGAACATTGAGAAACCGGAGGTTGTTGTTTGTACTTCGTTTCTTTTTTACTTCTTTTTTGTTGTTGATATGTGTGTATATGTATTTTGTTATACGGAGAGTCGGAGGAAGAAGTGTTGAGGGAGATTTACGGCGCGAACAGCAACGGACAGTTATCGGTATTAAAAAGCATGTAGCTGGGGCCGACCTACAAGTGTTCCCATTATGCCACCTAAGTGCAATTCCTTGCTAATCCGAAGAACCGATCCACTTCCTGGCCACACTTTCGCACCTCTAAATTATTGCACGTGCCATACTATACACATTTTAATAACACCTCGAAGCCCAATTCCCAGCACGACGACGACAACCACGAAATTTGAATATACACAGTTTCCTGTTTAATATACAAACATACTCCAATAGAATAATTAATTACAACTAGCAATTAATAAACGACGTTTTAATAATTACATTTATTTTATATATAATTACGATTTTTGTTTGCCTTCTGTTCTCAAAACGGGCGCCAATAATTATTGTTCTTCGTTAGATCGTCCATCATCTCAGGATTTATTATCGCCTCGGAAGCAATGATTAGCGCCGTTTAATTGATAGTTGCGACCTTATTTCTCTTTCTCTCCATCATTCACTCACTCACATTAAAATTATTCAAGCGCATTCTCATAAATATGTAAAATTGTGGTTTTCTAGAAAAGACGCGAAATTTTGCAGCGAAAATAACTACGAACGTTAATTACACGCTAATTAAAATACCTACAAATCACGGGATGCACACGTTTCATGGCATTCGCATTAAATGCGATTCCTTTTATGGGGGAAATACAACAAGATGTTTAGCGAGCGTTTATTTAATTAACTAATTTCGAAGCAAATCGTTTCATAACTTTTCCAAATCGTTTCCAAACATTTATCAACATTAATTAACATTCTTGCATATTAAACTTATTATATACATTAAACAATAAATACACATTATGTAATGTTTTCTATTGTTGTTAGAATCATAAATTTGTCTATTATCTGTGGTTTAATTATATTTGATAAAATTGTTAGAATTGTAAACTGTGCTGACATCTATACGCTTCTACTTCTATTAGATGAGTCATGGGTATATTGATAAAAGTTTTCTGTTATGTAACATGGTGTAAACTTGGTTACATACATACTTGGCTTCAATTATAGTATTCACTTATACTAATTGAAGAAAAGCAGCACGAACTTTTGTATCTGTAGAACTAGTCAAATCAAAAAGTACACTAGTTTGAGACTATAAAAGTATTGTGGCTAAGTACACCACAAAAGGCGAAAGCCTGAGAAGAAAAAAACTTATACTAAATGGTTTACTTAGTTATTGAGTAATACACCTTTAAAATAAGATTATAATCAAACTTATAAGTTTTACCGTTTTCTTGTAATATTCATTAAAAGTTGAAACAAAAAGACACAATTTATTTTTTCAAATTTTATCTAAATAGAAAATATTAATAGAAGATTATTAATTCGGATTATTAAACATTTGTTTATATACAAATTGGTAAATAATATTAATTATTCATCGAAATAATCTAATTTTTCAATTTCCCAAGTTTTTTTTTGCTAAATTTATAAGATTTTTAATTTTTCTTTCTTAACTTAAAAATAATCAAACTTTATATATTTACATATAAAGAAGTGTTTTATTGCGCAACTTATCATATAACATTAACTATTGTTATATAAAAAGTTGTATAATTTTTAAGTAAGTTAAAAAAAAATTTCTTTGTTTGTCTTCACGTTTTATTTAATTACTGGATAATCACTTACCATTATTAGAAGATTAAATATGCATATTAAAGAAAAAACTGTAACCTTTCCAATCAGCTTAAAGCCGAATTTGTAATATTTATAGATTTCTTGTTAAATTTGAACGTAGATTGTGGCAGACTTTCGTAATTATAAATTGTACCATAGATCACGGCAGACGTTTAGTAGCACCGTAGATTTTGCATTCTCTTCCAATTATATGTAAAAAAATGTATATAAAAGTATTTTTAACTAATAAAGTGTATGGAATTTATAAATCAATGAATTATTTATTATAAAAATCTAAATTATGGTTACATACATACTTGGCTTCAATTATAGTATTCACTTATACTAATTGAGGAAAAGCAGCACGAACTTTTGTATCTGCAGAACTAGTCAAATCAAAAAGTACAATAGTTTGAGACTATAAAAGTATTGTGGCTAAGTACACCACAAAAGGCGAAAGCCTGAGAAGAAAAAGACTTATACTAAATAGTTTACTTAGTTATTGAGTAATACTATCAAATGTGAAAACAGCGTTTTTAAAGCATTTTCAAAATTTAGATAATTTATTATACGAGAAAGGTAATTGGTTTTACATTAAAATTAAGTCATATACATTTAGCTTTAATTAATCTATTAATACTTTGAATTGGTATATGAAGTTATTGAGTAATTGAAAAAAATATGAAACTTTAGAGTATTTAAAACAATAATAAATTTGGCAGCTTATAACAAGAACTGCATTGGTAACTGCTAAAACTTTGGAATTAATCTAAAATTATATTTTGTGTATTTGGCTTTAATACTCGTATTCACACGTGAATTTGTCGTATTTGGTTAATGAGTAATCACTTAAAATACGAGAGCTTGTAATGTTGGGTAAATCTCGCAGTAAGCCAGATTTTATATTCGTTGATCAAGTAAAACAAATATTATTTAGTAATTATATAAATTGTCACATATAGCTTATAGTATAGATATAAAGTTCACAAATAGTAGTAAAGTTTAATTGATGTGAGAATAAGTTAAATTAGGAAAGGAAGAGTTGGCGTTGTAGCTGGAATGGGCGGAGGTAGGTGAGGTATAGCGACGTTCTGCAATTCCAGTAAGTGCAGCGACGTATCCATGTCTGTAATGTCTTTCAATTCCTTCTCGTAGTCGACGCTGCAAGGTGGATTACCTAAAACAATGTGGAATTGTAAAAAAACATAAATAATTATTAAAAAAATCTCATCAAATACCCATCAAAATATTCAACCCGTCTATCCAATAGTTGGCAATTTGCCTGGTGTTCGCGCAGAAGTCATGATTGACGTTCTCAAGAAGCATTAGGGAAAAGACCAATTCGCTTTTATCACTCGAAACACTGAAATTTATATATTTAAACATGATTGGAAAATTTAGTGGAAGTGAAAATACCTGGCGTTCTGTATGTGCTGACAGGCTTGTCCAATGACGAGATGTCTAATACTGGCAATATCTATCACAGATTTGTTTCGATCCTCGACCTTTTGATCCTGCTCCTCGAGTTCTAGACATTTCTCGTTCATGCTTAGTTTCAGATGGAACATTTTCGGTTTGCTCTTCAGCAAGGTCATGGTTTTGTTGGTGGAGTATCTCGTCGGATATTTGTAGAACATCTGACCTTTCTTCATCACGGTCATTCTTTGGCAATTGATGAGTTCCTTGTTAGCTTCAGCAAATTGCGAGGAAAGCTCCAATATACAAGGATTTGTAGATAACATTCTGATCCTATCATCCTCCAACTCTTTCTACATTGATGAAAACATATATATCAAATATTAAGTTACAAACTAATCATATAAATTATACAAGAATGTTATTAAATTCATTATTTTTACTATTATACAATAATCTAAGCCAGCGTTTTCCAAACTGTGAGGCGCGCCCTGGGGAGGCGTTGACTAGCCTAAGGGGAGGCGCGAATATTAGTAGCAGTGAGCAATTTTCCAAATATCTGCTAAAGTATAGATACATTCCTGGGCTTTTATCCATATTGCTGTAATACGCGTTTAAAGTTGAAACGTTCGAAAAAGCAGTGTTTTCACATTTCATTGATTTTCTCAAAAACTATAATAGATAGAATGAATCCAAAAGATGCATATAAAAGCTGAATGTTTGGTGTTTTCACATTTCATTGATTTTCTCGAAAACTATAATAGATAGAATGAATCCAAAAGATGAATAGATGGAATGAATACAAAAGATGCATATGAAATCTGAATGATTGGGGAATCTGGAAAGTGTCGATATATTACAGTGGTTTTAGCTGTTTGGCTGTAATTCGTGTTCAAATTTTAAAAAATGCTCGAAAAAGCAGTGTTTTTACATTTCATTGATTTATTCGAAAACTATAATAGATAGAATAAATACAAAAGATGCATATACAAGCTGAATGTTTGGGGAATCTAGCAAGTATCGATATATTAGTGTGGTTTTAGACGTTTGGCTGTAATTCGTGTTCAAAGTTTAAAAAATGTTCGAAAAAGCAGTGTTTTTACATTTCATTGATTGAATTATAATACATAGAATCAATCCAAAAGATGCATATTAAAGCTGTATGTTTGGGGAATCTAGCAAGTATCGATATATTACTGTAGTTTTAGCCGTTTGGCTGTAATTCGTGTTCAAAGTTTAAAAAATGCTCGAAAAAGCAGTGTTTTCACATTTTATTGATTTGCTCGAAAACTATAAAAGATAGAATGGATCCAATAGATACATATGAAAGTTGAATGTTAGGGATTGTTAAAAATTCCGGTTACTATGGGTTTGGTTCCGGTTCGACTCTCTGATTTTAACCAATAGAAACTTGTGTAACTTGTTTTCGGGGCTCCCCAATCGCCGATGACGATACGATTAGTACACCAATGTAATTCCCGAATTTGGCTCAACGGAAAACAAATCTAAAAGAACAGTTGTGTAATTACCATCGGCGATAAAATATATATATATATATAAATAAATTAGTCGATGGGCGAAGCAATAATAATAATACCGATTTCCCCGAAGCATAGCATCCCTTATCAAGGTAATAAAGTGCGTTTATCAACGGTGAAGTTGATCTGAAATTAAACACTCGAAAAAACATGTTTATGTAATTAATAGGTGTAGCATATATCGAAACCAAATATATACACTGCGATTTGCATATTTGCATTAGTCGAAAAGCCGGAAAGTACAAATACGATGTCTCTGCACTTCAACGTTATAATGCACCAACTCTTCGGGGACGAGTTTTGCGGTGGTGGTGCTGACGTCTGGGTCACAGAACCTACCAAGAAAGGTACATTTTCGTATTTGCAAGTGCCCAAGTACAAATGTTCATTTTGCAGGTATCATAGTGTATTCGTTCATAACGCCTTTCATCAGCTTCTTCGCCATCTGCGGTAACACCCTGTCGTTGTGCGTATTAATGAGGAAGGAATTTAAAGCCTCAATCTACACTTATTTATCAGGTACGTCTACAACATTCAATTTTATAACCAACATAGTAATAAAAGCTTTATAATTATTGCTTTTAAAAACAATAAATCACATGTTCTATTGACATCTAATAAGATTTCTTAAGATAAAATCACGTGGATGCGCCGGGTGTTCCCAAAGAAAACCATCTTACAAAGCGAAATTAGCGCAAAATTGTATTGATCACTAATTACTTTTCTTTCTCTACATCGCGATAACCACCATTATAAATCTTTAGTTTTTAACACTTTTTCTTTAATTTCGTAAAGTTTTCTGTTTTCTTTGCCTGAAAAATTTTCCACTAAAAAAACATCTTCTACATTCAACAAATTTCAAACTTCTTTTCATAGATATTTTTGAATTGATTGATTGAGTCAGTTATTATAGTTAAATTCAGAGTTTCTCTCGTGTAATTTGATGCTCAATTAATGTTTTATCCACATGAGTTTCGTTATGTAATTATTCCACTGTTCCGCTTTCTACTTTATACTTGTCAAAATTGGATTACGTCCAAGTGTACTTAGCAGTGATCACTTTCAGAAATTAAAATTTACAATGTTTCCAAACCCTGCAACAATATGCCATTTTTATTCTCATTTTTATTTTCACTCGGATTTGAAGATTTACGTGTGCGTTTATTTGATGTTGATGTGTGTAATTTTGTTGATCTTTTTGTACATTTTTCCTTGTTCGTTTCCTTTTTTGAACTTGTCATTTTCTTCGGTATTTTTGTTTGTTGTTTATTTTAAATTTCGTGTTTTTTTTTTGCGATGCAGTACTGGCGACCACGGATTTAATAGATTCCTCTCTATTATTCATCAATTTCGTATTCATTAAAATTTTCTGTTTTCTTTGCCTGAAAAATCTTCCACTAAAAAAACATCTTCTGCCTTCAACAAATTTCTGACTTCTCTTCATAGATATTTTTGAAACCTATTGATCGAGTCAGTTATTACAGTTAAATTCAGAGTTTCTCTCGTGTAATTTGATGCTCAATTAATGTTTTATCCACATGAGTTTCGTTATGTAATTATTCCACAGTTCCGCTTTCTACTTTATACTTGTCAAAATTGGATTACGTCCAAGTGTACTTAGCAGTGATCACTTTCAGAAATTAAAATTTACAATGTTTCCAAACCCTGCAACAATATGCCATTTTTATTCTCATTTTTATTTTCCCTCGGATATGAAGATGTACGTGTGCGTTTATTTGATGTTGATGTGTGTAATTTTGTTGATTTTTTTGTACATTTTTCTTTGTTCGTTTCCTTTTTGAACTTGTCATTTTCTTCGGTATTTTTGTTTGTTGTTTATTTTAAATTTCGTGTTTTTTTTGCGATGCAGTACTGGCGACCACGGATTTAATAGATTCCTCTCTATTGTTCATCTCGGGTCTCTGCAGAGGAGTTCTTTGGCGAGTGTCCGGTTGGAGGGAATACGAAGCCCTCATCACTTTACCATTGGGCGGTGCGGTCAGTTCGCTCGCTGTTTTTGCGACAGTCGCAGTTGCTTTAGGTAAAACACAAATTGGGTTTCTCCTTTCAACGTAACTAACTAATTGTACAGCTTAAATAAGTTGCCAACTTGCAGCAATTTCTTTACGTATACAAATACCAAAACAAACTTTGATGATTTATGGTACTTCTTTTTATACTCCACACAAACATGAAAGTTTCGGTTTATTTTAACGTTTATCATTCAGTATAGTGGAATTTAATATTAAATATTCTGTATTCAAATCTATTAATAACCAAAAAAAAAACTAAGGCTGAAATAAATTAATATACATTAATGTTATTGGATGTTTTGCATACAGTTATATAATGTAGTTTATGAAATTTGTATATAATAATAAACTTGATTTCATGTTGTTGCATGTTTGAATAAGGAATTGGTGCAGAGAAATTTCAAAGTGTTTGTCGATCTTTTATGCAGATCGCGTCGTGTACTTGTGGAAGCCTAGGCGATGTATGAAACCGAAATTCTGTCAACCGGAAGTGGCCCGAAGAGTTATGTTTGTCGCCGGCGTCGTTTCCGTTCTTTTCAACATACCGTATTGTTTCATGTTCGAGTGGACCAAGGATGGAAAACTGGTGACTTCGGACTTCTTCGATACCGAGTAAGTTTGCTCAATTAGTTATTAACATTTTATGAAGTTGTAGCATTGTTTATGTTATGCAGGGATACCAAAAGTTATTTTTTTTCAAATCCCTACTCAAAAAAAAGGTCAGATGACCATTGCCAACTGTAAAAATTGCAACTGCAACTCATCAGTCCTTTCGACGCAAAAAATAGAGATTATTCGAATTCTCCGCGATCTTTAACAAGATTATTTATGCTTTCTTACATATAATAATATTTGTTGCTGCAGCTTTTCTCCCTCGTTGGCAATTTCTGTTTTATGTTTTAATATATTATTTATACAACTTAAATAGTTACAGAAAATTTTATGTGTTGCATGGTTCAGTGTACCTTATATATATGTATAATATATATTACCTGCTTACTTGCTGCTACTGTTCGTCTGGAATCTTCTCAGTGTCGAAAATTGATGTAAATATTTAACTTCGTATGTCGAAATCTTTTTAGAAATCTTTAATGAAAGTTTTTTTTTTTCAATTGTCAATAACAAAATTTTTTACCACCAGCACACTACCATCAAATTTTGTTTCTCGCAAAATTTGAAAAATTCCGATTGATGACGCTTTGTAAATGAATCGTACCAACTGTCCTCGAAAAACCATATTCACTGATGTTATGTTGGATTAGTAGAATGTTTCAGACATGTACCAACTTCAAAACATTAGTGTTTTAATATGTAGTTGGTGAACATGTTATATCATATATCATTATTGTCATACATCAATACGTCACTGTTTCGTTTTGACCTGTTCCATTGTATTTATTAAATAAATGTGATATTACGTAAGGCATATATTTAATATATATATAAAAATATAGATAAATAAAAAAAGTAGTTCAAATTAGATTGTTGCATAAGATCTACGGCCGATATCTGGCCTCCGTGGCGCAATTGGCTAGCGCGTTCGGCTGTTAACCGAAAGGTTGGTGGTTCGAGTCCACCCGGGGGCGGCAAACACTTTTGTCTCTAGTAAATTATGGAATTTCCATATTGTTCTTCAATTTCTATTTCAATTTTTACTATTATTTTTTTAGTATTTGGAACATAACAATTGTCTATTTAATCATATTTAAAATAATTTAGTAAATTTTGACAATTTTGTCAATTACTTATTTTTTGCAAAAATTAAATAAAATTTCGATTAATTCTTCATATTATTATATAATATCTGTTTCAAAAATTGAAATTGCTTTAAATTATTGTAAATGAGTGTTCCACATGTTGTTGGGTGTGGATTTTTGTATGCATATTTTAAGAAAAGTAATAAAAATATATAGTAATTTGATAATGTTATGTTTGAAAAGGTTAATTTGATGTAATTTTGTAATTTAATTGTAATGAAATTTAAAAAAAAAATGATATGTAATATCTTTTATATGCACTTATAAATGAATTGCTAAAATAAAAAAAAACAGTCAATTCAGGGCTGAAACGTACTTCAAAATTAATACATTTTGGGTGGATACGCCGGGTTTTTTTTTAAAGAGTAATTGTAATTTTGGAGTTTGCTTCTAGCTTCAATACAAATTATAGTTGAAACATCATTTACTATATACCAGTGATCATAAAGAATGAAAATAATGATTGGTTGAAAATGTATTTGTACATGAAGTATCATAGCTATCATTACTATCAAGATCAAAAGTATTTAAAACATACTTATAGTATTTTGCAGATATTTGAAATTAATTTAATATCAACAAAATATTTATTTTGTTTTTTGTAAATTTAAATGTAAAATTGTAATATGCATTTGAATGTAATTGGAATGATTTGTTTGTTTTTATTTTCAGTTTTTATGCAGTGCACAATTGGATCAAGTTTGTCGTATTCGGAATAATACCGGCAATACTTTTGATCTTCGGCAACGGCTTTCTCATCTATTGCTTGAAGAGGGTCCACTCCATCAAGGATCAATGCACCAAGAACTGCAACAAGAGCACCAGCAAACGGCGGAAAGTCCAGGCGAGTTTTATTTTTATCTTTTGTTGCGATTTCAAACTGTTTTAACCCTTTACAAAGCACTTTTGCAACTTGGTCCATCAATCTCCATTTTCCGTGAGCGAAAGAGAAGTTATCTAAACGAAAATGAATGCCATTTTATATGTTTCGTAACAGGATCAGAAGTTCGTGACGATGACCCTGGTGGCGATCGTGTTTTTCTTTCTGATCGGTGAGTTTCCCACTCACCTGGCTTCGAGGAAGACGGCCGTAACCATCCTCTTCGGAGGTGATCAAGACGCCGCTGATAACTCGAAAGGTCTCGAGAAGTTCCGGCAGATCGCTACTGTTTTGAACGCCGTCAATATAGCGGCCAATTTCATTGTGTACTGCATGTTCTGTCCGCTCTTCCGAAGATGTCTCAAGAAGATGATGGCTTGCGAAGGCAACAAGTTGAAAACTAATAATCTTCAGGTGAACGTCTTTTTCTTGGGGAATGGTAAAGATGCTGGAGAGAACACGCATTTTAAGCTACCCATCGTCGCTAAGGATAAACTTCTAGGTCTGTTCGCATTGCAGGATAACACCAGCAGCAAGTCGAACGAGAGCAGTAATTGATGAAGGAAAGTCGCGGCACGGATATTAGATTTAGTCGGACAAAATAAATTATAATTACAATCATATTAAGTGTGCTTATTTCGGAAAAGTCGTGCTTTGTTTTAAGAGGAATTCATTCGTTCCTCCTCTTCCTTTACTGCTTGCATCCAGATAGGAAGAACGGAAGATCAGAATGAGAACTACTTGAAGTCCTTATACATGAAGATTCAATTTATTAACGTATCTTTCAATTATTTTATATAATTTATTTCACTGGTAAACAAACATCTATGATTACTTTAAATTGGAATTATTAATTTAAAATGAAAACTACATTTGTGATCGAATACAAATACTAATATAACATCGATTTTTGTTGTTGTTTGGAGTAAAACCTGTGTGTTAAGATAAAATTTAAGATCCAGTATAGATTCAATTAAAAGTACAAAAATGTTTGGAAAACGAAGATGTTCATCAAAACGAAAATTAAAACCAATTAAGGCCGATAACACAATTTAGTTACAAAACTAACAAAAATAAGACAATTAAATTATTTTTAATACATTTATTCATTATTATTTCATTCATTATTGAATTCAGAGAAATTATAAGCGAAACATAAAAATATTAATATGGTTTTCTTCTGTTAATTCCATGACCAAAAACGTTCATATTCGGAAAGCCGAATCCGAGTATAAACGAGCACCGACGGATTTTATATTCTTGATTTGAAAGACAAAATTTTGCTAAAAACCGGATTGAAATCTGATGATTTTAATCTACAGTATCGACTATTTTAGAAGAAAATTAGTCTAATAAAATGGTCTAATTGTGGGGGTGTGGGTACAGATGATGCAAAATCAATGAAAATTTTCTGGTTTTATGGCACGGGTAATCACGAGGATTACCAAATTGCCGTCTATTCCATATGCTTTATGAGTCATCACGATTCTTTATCACACAAAAGTTTCAGTTTCAGTGTTTGAAAAAGTTTCAAAAGTTTGAATTTCAAGCATTTTTTTATTGATTGTCCGTTTAATTTGGATCCAATGTCTGCATATGAATGTTTTGGTTTTCTGAAACTTGACGAAAACATTAAACAGAATATATGTGAACATCTTCAATGAGCTTTTCAAAATGAAAGCATTTTTTTTTATTAATATATTTAATTTTCGTCCTTTTGTAATTTCTCTACATAATTTCCATTTATTTCTTAAGTCAATAGAGCCACCATTAAAAACATTCCTCAAAATTAGACTTTTGGAGCTTTTCAACTTTCGATTAATGATCTCTTCATTGGAACTGAAGACTTTTTACTTCAATTTTTTTTTAAATTTTCGGAAACAGCCAGAAATTACAAGGGCGAATTTCATAGATGCCAACGAGCTCAAGAAAGTTGTTGGTTATTTCAGTGATGTAAAAAGTAGCGACAAAGTTTCCCTTTTTTCTGATTTTCCAACAAAGTTTTGAAAACTTTTAGAAAGCTAGTTTCTGTGTACTACTTAGCAGTTACCTTCTGACCAGTTTGATAGCAGTCTTAAGATTTAATTTTATATAGCCATACCATGGCATATAGTTAAGTTATTAACATATTTTAATGCAACAATAAAAGATATTTAGACTTTCATTTTCGTAAAATATTTCCAATCTCAAAATCCTCATCGAGATCGGAATCTTGCAAAGTTTCAAATATTAAATATTCCTACTATCAGATTCAATATCTGTGATACACCCAGATTTATTTCTTAATCTTTGATGTAATACCAATTGCATCAATGATTATATTTTGATTGAATTATCCTTCGTAATTAGGAATTAATCAATGTTGTCGATAAATTATATAGAACAGTTGCGAGATGGAAATGTCATAAACAAGATTGTAACAACAAAAGTAATAAGAAAACCGTACAAATTAACAGATAAACACGCGCAGACTAAATCAATGATATGACTGTATTCGCAGTATTTATTTGTTTGTGATTTCGTTGAAAATTTGCTAGTAGCCAATTACTCGGTATTATATGTTATGCAATTGCACATCTGATACAGACTGATAAGTTGCGGCGTGTTGTGTTCCACATAAATACGTCATTTTTTTGGACTCATTACGAATGCGACGCATCAAAGACATAAACAAAACTCGATATAAATTAATCGTATATGAAGCAAAATGGCAGTTCCAAGTTGAACATTCTTCTACCATGAACAAATATATTGTAAGTACAAATATGTTCTTTACACTGAAAGTACCGTAATTTGATAACAAATATATACCTTGATTTACATGCTTGAACCATTATCAATATTGTTTTAAAATTAAATCGATAAAATTATTAAGCTTTTTTGTAATTTACATACACTGTGTATTTATACTACAACTTTTAGTTGAGTAACACAGTACAATTTTATAACAACAGATGAGAAAACCACGTTATAAACATTCTCTAATGTTTCCATTTAATTTGATATTGTAAGCACTGTTTTTGAAGATACAAATGTATTCAAAAATTAAAAATACAGTGGAAATAAAAATAATTACAAAAATACATTAATTAATTAATTGAAATTGAATTTGTGTTAAATAAACTTGCTTATTAACTATCGACTACGTAGTGTAAACTTTGTTAGACTAACAGTTAGCAGCAAGTGTATATTTTAAGATTCTTTTTATGTCGTATAGTTTTATTCATAATCTGTTCATCAATGTAAATTTAAGTAAATTTAAGAACATTAAATGGATAATCTTTCCCAGTGGATAATGGTAACTTTATGATGATTTTGAACATTGATAATTACTTAAATTTATATACTAAATCTAGTGGTTTGCAACGCTTCAACCTGTTTGTGGTTTTACTGTTGTCGAGTTGGGCAAAAGCCAGAAATGTTGGTATTGTATACTCGACCATGTCTATATGAAGATATGAAATTGTAAATTGTAATAGGAAATTATTTATAAAAATTGAAGCTCGTTATTGTTCAAGAAACAGGAATAAATGTTTATTAATTTTGAGTAATTTTGCTCTAAGTAGCGCGGTTTGATTTAATGGGAAAATTTGAATTTGGAGGAAAAGGTTTTGCCTTAGATTTTGAGTATCAATGAAAAAAAAAATCTTGTTCTTTGCATCCTACTTCACCCGTAATTGCTACGCAATTATATTTCGGTATAAAATTGATATAAATTTATATATTTCTTTAGGTAACTTTGGCTTTAGTGCTTATTGCATTAGCCTCAACCGCAGAATCGTTTATACCTTGCGCTGGTTGTATTTATGGAAAAATGGGAGGACACGAAGACCGTTTAGGTGGAGGTGGTGGAGGTGGACTAGATACAGATAGACATAGACCAAATCATGAATTTGGAAATGGACGAGTTCATGGACAAGGCCACAGATATGACAATGGTTATGACAATCAACATTACCATAATTCCCATGGGACAGGACACGATCAACAACACCAAGGCGGTTATCGCACCCACGGATATTGAAAACTTATGATCCTTAATCGTCTTTAATTGAAACCCTTAATTAATTTGGTTAAAATTGATTTACCAAATGGGTTTAGTTAAATGTTACAATTATCTTGTCGCTACAATGCTAATAAAATAAATATGAAACCAGTGTGTATGAATTATGTATAATCTCAAATATCTTTAAACGACAATTACAAACTTTGTGATTATGTCTCTTGCGGCCTTCCGAAAAGTTCACAATGTGAGTTTATATATAAAAATTAAAAGCAAAGCAAAAAAAAAAGGCTGAGGTTTGTAGTTTAGGTTTCTGGTGTCGGGATCGGATTTCTAGGAGTTGGATGAAGATCGGATCGTTGATGATAAAAGTGAGATAGGGTGAGGTGTTGTAGGTGGAATATACCTTCACCAGCACTGCCTCTGGTTTGTCCAGAGAGAAACTGTCCGCAAGGTAGAGGTGAGAGACGATTCCCTAATCCTTTTCCAGACCTCTGACGAGAGAGAGTCTAACTCTGCTTAAGATCTTGCAAATATCTCTAAAACTCTCTCTTCTTTGTCTTTAAGAGTTTCTTCGTCACGTCCATCTGCCTTTTGACATTTAAATAATGTACATATCTTCTGCTCTACTGCATTCCTCATCCCACCATGGGAATGGTGTCCTCGAACATGGTCTTATCTCGTAATTCTGTTCCTCAACAGGTGCATTCTCTCACAATTTTTTTTAAACTGAAACCAATTAATTCTGCTGCTTCTCAACCTTGTCAATATCGGAGTGTGATCTTTTACCATAAGTATCCAGAAGTGTGGTGGAGTGGCAAGCAAGTGCTATATTTGAAGAAGAAACTACAAGGTCCAGGATACTCGATTTCGAGCCCCAGAGAGAGTGATGTCCATTGAAGACACCATTAAATTGTCGTGTCCCATGGATGGATAATTACACATGAAAAGTAATTAACAAGATAAACGTACAAAGATAAAATTAACACTGTGATTATAATTGGAATTGACCAATTAAACGCTCTTATTTATTACGATTTGTTATTCACTACGCGTCTGATATTGACATGTTCCGATTGGCTGCATTGTGGATCAGATAAATACATCTATTTTAAATATATCATTTAATATTTAATGCATACACAAAATTTTGATATAAATTGATCATGTACGAACGGACAATCTCAGTTCCAAGTTGATTAACAATCCAACATGAATGAGTATACTGTAAGTATCGTAGTTTAAAATGGATTTCACGTTGAACATGATTTTTTAATATAAACGACAAAAAAAAACAAACTTTAGTTTCGTGAAAATATATCAGGTATTAAAAAAGTTCGTGGAAATTTTGATGGTAAAATATAAAAAAAATATTCCCTGTTCAGTGAAATGATTACTTCCCTATATAGTGAAGGTGCAAACGAATGGTTTCATCACTTTCACTGAACATTTCTGAAAGATCTAAGCACGTTGTCTAAGCGTTGTCCCATAACGTTCAAGCTAAAATTTCTAATAGAAAAATCTCTTGAATCACTTTTCTGATATCTCTTTCAGTGCGCCGGAAGATTATTGTTTTTCTGCTAATTCCTCCTCTAAGAAAAACCTTCTCCACAATTTCTTGCAGTGAACCACAATGCAATTTCGGTGTTTTTGTTGTGCTCTTCCAAAATCCGATCGATTTTATTGTTTTCTATCTACAACCTCATTATCATTATTAGCCACAGGTTTCACTAAAACTGTCACAGTTTTCTTGGTATTTTATATAAAAATGCGAATCGTTCATTAAATCCTCATCTAAAGCAAACTATTGAAAACTTGATATGTTCTTGGAAATATATGATATTTTGATGGGAGCAACTACTTAATTAATACGAAATATCGACCCAAGACATCTCTCACAACTCTCACCAAGAAATTAAGAATCAAGTCTTACCCAACTACGAATTGAGTCTTTCCACAAAATCTGTTTGCACCCATTGCGAGTGTTACAGATAGAGAAAGTATATAAAATAAGAACGAGAACAAACATATTCTATTTCTAGTGTATAATTTTCTGATAAACACGAGCTGGAAATTTTTGAAATTACCAATTAAACGATATTATTTACAAGACTTTATCACGCATATTCACGTAATTTTTCATCAACAATATTTGATATACATTGATCACGTCTGAACGGGCAATATCAGTTCGAAACTGAGCATCACTCTACAATGAATAAGTACATCGTAAGTTACTTCATATTCATTATACATTTTTTTATTTAAAGTTGATTTAATCTTGATTTTTCGATAACAAAACTCTTCCATAATTGATACTATGGAAACTATAGTTTTTAATAATTCAAATTTTATTATTTTTCTCTATTTTCTCTAATATTTTTTAGGTAATTTTGGCATTGATGTTTATCGCATTTGCTTCTATCGAAGTATCATCGTCTGTCTACGATTCTAGACCTTACCAAAACTACAGATATTACCCTGACTATAGACCTCACCTCGACTACAGGGCATATCCTGACCATAGACCTTTGCAAGTCTACAGATCCTTCCCAGACTACAGATATTACCCTGAATACAGACCTTACCCTAACTACAGTCCTTACCTGCACTACGGATCTTCTCCTGACTGGAGACCTGGCCCTGTCCTAGCTGCACCAACTGCATAAGAAGACTGTGCCACACATTTCCAAACAAGAAAAATATACCTCTTCTTGGTTCTTCTGGATATATAAACAATAATAATGATTATTACAAAAAAAATAACAATAATAAACAATAAAATTTGATCCTAATGATATCATTGTCATTTTTATTATTTATCTAACTCTTTCCCATAATCTTCTCCATTTCATACATTTCTGGTTAACTTAATTTTATAATTTATTAAACCGCGTACACAAAAATGTTCAATAATCGTTGAAATCATTAAACAATATTGTTTACAAGGATTCGTTATTTAACTACGTTTCTGTTATTAATACGTTCCGATCTGTTGAGTTTTTGGTATAGATAACAGCGATGTTTTTTTTTTAAAGTCGGAAATCAATGAAGACATAAACACTTTTCGTTATAAATTGATCGAGTGTGAGTGGAAAATCCCAGTTTCATGTTGGACATCTTTTCGCCATGAATAAGTGTATTGTAAGTATCGAAAGTTGAAAAAAAAACAATAAATAACTTTACTTATCTTATATTTCATAATGAAAATCGAAGAATAATTTATTGACCAGAAAATGAAAACCTAATATAAAACATAAACTTATTATCTAATTTTCTTTTATAGGTAACTTTGGTTTGGGTACTTATTGCCTTAGCTTTAATCGAAGAATCTTCTATGGCAATTACTCGATTTAGTACTGATTATGGTAATAATAGATATTACTATGACCATAACCATGAGCAATACCAAAAGTTCGGATTTCGTCCTAACCAAAAACATGTCCAGAGACCTTATCATAACAATGAACATTACGATAACTACAAACAAAAAAACAAGATGCTCTAATATACCGCAATTTTGGTATTACTGTCCTTCCTTAATGATGAACCATTGTGTACTTTTTAAGAAATAAAATTTATATGTTACTCGCACATTTCGTTGTATTTCTTGCAAAAAAAAAACTAACAAACTAACTTAATCCTTTAGGAAATTAAAACAGATTTTATATAGTCATCGTTTTTAGAATTAATGTTTTTTAACTTATTATCTATAATGTTGTCAACATTAATTTTTATTTAAGTTTCTGTCAATTTCTGTTATTTTAATTTGTTTTCTTAATTTGATTAATGCCAGAATGTGGCAAATTGCAAATAGTAAATAAAGAATAAAAGAAATGAACATATATATATAAAGGGCTTTAAATTTTGTTATACATAAACTATATTCCTATCATCAATTTTACTTGTATCAAAAAAATAGAGAAATGTTGTTTGTAGTGGAGTAAATCAATGAAATGTGAAAACACTGCTTTTTCGAACGTTCAAATTTCAATTTTTCAACTTTGAACATGTATTACAGCAATATGGATAAGAGCACAGGAATGTATCTATACTTGCTGGATTCCCCAAACATTCAGCTTTCATACGCATCTTTTGGATTCATTCTATGTATTATAGTTTTCGAGTAAATCAATGAAATGTGAAAACACTGCTTTTTCGAACGTTTTAATTTCAATTTTTCAACGTTGAACGCGTATTACAGCAATATCAATAAGAGCAGAGGAATATATCTATACTTGCTGAATTCCCCAAACATTCAGCTTCCATATGCATATATTGCATTCATTCTATCTATTATAGTT